GCTGCGATCAAGCTTTCGAAGTACTTAAAGCTCTCAACGACTTCCAGTTCGTCACCACAGAGGGTGAGTGCAGGCAGAGGCTCCTACCAATCTTGAACAAGCACTTTACACTTTGATGGTGCAAAGCACATACCATACCTGGATACCTCGATCGCCGAGCGGTTGAAAACATTTTGGACTCCTTGTGCATTATCACCAAGCAAGGCGATGTCATCGGCATACTCTGAGTCAAGGACTCTGTTCCCCTGGAGGACTCAGTGGTTCCGTGTTATCTTTCCCGACCTGTTGTCTAAGGGTTTCATATTGATTTAAAGGCATCTCTAAATATGGAACTGTTCCTGATGCTATACTGGTCGACTCCATTGTTAACGACACCGTAAAAGAAGTGACCGTCTGTGTGAATCAATCCTGTTTGATACACCACACACCCGAGACACTCTCGACTCACCCGCGATAAAGTCAAATATGAAAACATAAACTCTAAACTGACCACAGAACCTCATTGTTACTTTTACTACCTGTTAAAAGTGCGTTTTTTCATTTATGAACAGGACGTTTTCTTTTGCACCACCGGCAGTTTCAATTATTTTACGCTGTCCTTGCAGCTTAAAAAACATCACTGCTGAATTCTGTTTACATGCCGAACGCGAAACTGGTCGGAAGTACGGTTAGACTTCTTGCTTAACAAGTGATTGACTGGCATTGTTTCTCGCATTGACACTTCTCACGCGAGAAGCGTAACAAAGCAGACGTGCCTTGGAGGGTTTTCCGAGCTGGACGTGATGTTTGCAGACTGAAAGAAACCTTGAGGACCAACATCCATGTCTCGAGCTAAAACCATTCAACATTATATTTAAGGAAGACGTGCTTCTATGGAACTTCAAAAGTTCCGGATCAAATGGTCACTGAATATACTTTCTGGTTTCAAACAACTTCTTCTGGCTTTCATATCTTTAATCTATTAGTCAATGAAACATTTAGATTTTGGGCGTTACCTGAGCTTTCGTGCTTTATTCAAACTGCTCCATAGTCGAATTGTACCGTAGAATTTCACCGCCCTACAAGGCTCAATCTCACCTTACCACAGCTTGCAAAACACACAGGTTACTAGGGAAGGTATTCATATAAAAACGATGATGCAGCAAGAGATCCGTATCGTGGATATGTATTCAACCGCGGAATTCAAGCAACATTACAACACTACTAGGTAGGTCATGCTAAGGCTAGACAGTATTCGGTTGTCCAGTCAACTTTACATTGTTCCTGAGACTTTTCAGGCTCGTAGAAGCACCGACAGGGGTAGCACAAGACCGGCATCTGGAGCGACCACAGATAGGGCAGCCAGGGGAGATTTCAAGGCTTGTTGCAGGGCCTGAATATCACATGATTGGAGCAGTGAAAAAAGAGCAGTGCAGGGAAGGGGAAAGCAAATTATTGATTAGATGGCTCAATGATTAATATATCGCAATGTGAACCGACCAATGGTACCCAAATTAACGTATGAAGACCAGCACAAAAATGAAAGTAAACTGAACGAAAAATATATAGTAGCGTCAAATAGTCAAGCGACGAAGCAAAACAATAGGAATAGTTAAGCACAGTTCAACGCTAGTGGGTGCGTCCACAGGTTGGGGAATGGGAGTCAGCCACCAATCTGGTGGATAACTGTTAATAAGGTGAGCCTATGATACTAAATACGACCGATTCTGGACCATCAGTGATAGTTTCTAAGAATGCAGTGGGTTTGCGCCTGATTAACGCTCTCTATCATAAAGCGCCGCATTGAGACATGGCGATCCCATCCCCAACCCTGTTTTTATTACACAGGTTATGTTCCGCTCTTCATGAAAACCATGTCGGGAACACTATAGGAGTAGTAACTTTATCTAGTTTGATCATGCACAATATAACCTCGGATTACAACGGTTGCCTCCTTTACACATTTGTGTGGTGGACAGCAGACGGGGCGAACCCCATTGTCACGAAAACCTGCTGCTCCGTCATGTAAACCGGTTTCGCCACTCCAAGTACCACGGGGCTTTAGTTGCCGGTTTCCACCACCGAAGAAGACCCGAAAAAACGCCATCGACTCATTGATACTAACCCTGCTAATTTGTAATCTATACTTTGTTACAAAAAGACTGTAGACCAGAATTACCCTTGGTTTACCTTCTACCCTGGACTAGAAAAAGGAGTGGCAAAACAGTCTCGAAAAGTGTTGGAATGCCACCTTACATCCTGTTCTCGAGAATACTTGGGAATAACACTCACAGACCTTACTCATCCTCCAGCAACAGATAGGCTCATAAGAACGGAGTACAAGTAGCTAAATACGCATTTCCGATTACCCCTAGAGTTCATCTCTACCAAACTTACTGTGGTCACTGCGTTCGCGTCAACTGCATCGATCTTGGCGGCTCGATCCTTGGGACTTTCGTAAGTGTTACTTGCTTTAGACATTTGGATTGCCAAGTCCGTAGCCAAGCATGCAGGACTCTCCAAACCCATGAAGATATTAGCCTTGCACATCGATCTGTATGCAATTGAACACGAAAGGACGAAATCAGAAAGATGAAGAGAATCTGAATGGGATCCCTGAACTGTGTGGACTTGAAAGTGCGTCATGAAAAAATTCGTGGGAACAGCAATAATGTCAAAGTGAGAAGTTGCGATAGTTTAGCTAACTCTGAGCCGATCGGAAACGTCTAGTTAGCTCAAAACTGAAAACGGTTTTCTAACTTTGATTCTCGTTCCCTCAACTTTGTGGGCATCCTTTCTACACTCGGAACGCAAAAGTACTAAGACTACAGAGCGGCGTTTTAGAGAATCACGAAGAAATATACCACGGCGCTTGACACAACCTTCAGTTTGTTCGCTCGTTTCTCGAATTGGTTTATACTAGTTATTATTCTGGTCTACACTCAACTTTTTTTCTCTCTCTGAGGACA